GGAGGCGGAGGTTGCGGTGAGCCGAGATCGCGCCATTGCACTCCAGCCTGGGTAACAAGAGTGAAACTCCGTCTCAAAAAAAAAAAAAAGAAAAAGAAAAAGAAAAAAAAGAAAAGAAAACAATAGTGGGCTACACTACTAGGGAGATGAAGAAAAAAATTTTAAAAAACAGAAGTAGGAAATATATCTCATTCACAATAGTGACAAAAGGCAAAACCCATAAACCCAGCCATAAATTTAAGAAAGTTGCAGAATTATACAATTAAATTCCAAAGTTACTGAGGGGCATGCAACAAGGATTATTGAAGTTTCTAGATGCTAAGACAATATGCCAGTCTAACCCAAGCTAGTTCATAATGTATAGTCAAAATCTCAAAGGAGGGCTGGGTGCAGTGGCTCATGCCTGTAATCCCAGCACTTTGGGAGGCAGAGGCAGACAGATCACCTGAGATCAAAAGTTAGAGCAGCCTGGCCAACATGGTAAAACCCCCTCTACTAAAAATACAGTCAGCTGGGTGTGTGTGGTGGCGCACACCTGTAATCCCAGCTATTCAGGAGGCTGAGGCAGAAGAATTGCTTGAAGGGGGAGGCAAAGGTTACAGTGAGCCAAGGTCGTGCCACTGCATTCCAGCTTGGGCAACAGAGTGAGACTGTCTCAAAAAAAAAAAAAAAAATTTTTTTTTGGTAACTGTACACAACAATTTTAAAGTTTTTATGGAAAAGTGTTTGGTAGTACCCCTACATATTTGGTAAACCTCATCTTACCTGATAAACTGGTAAAACTATTGTATTATCACAGGAAAAAACAAGATCAGGGAACAATAGATGGGCATTGAAGTTTGTTTTTTTTTTTGAGACAGAATCTCATTCTGTTGCCCAGGCTGGAGTGCAGTGTCATAATCTCCACTCACTGCAACCTCTGCCTTGCGGGTTCAAGCAACTATCCTGCCTCAGCATCCTGAATAGCTGGGATCACAGGCATGCACCACCACCCCAGGCTAATTTTTTATTGGCTAGGCTAGTCTCGAACTCCTGACTATGTGATCCACCCACCTCAGCCTCCCAAAGTGCTGGGATTACAGGCATGAGCCACTGTGCCTGGCCTAGATTTTTTTTTTTTTTCCGGAGACAGTCTCGCTCTGTTGCCTAGGCTCGAGTGCAGTGGTGTGATCTCAGCTCACCACAACCTCCGACTCCCGGGTTCAAGTGATTCTCCTGTCTCAGCCTCCGGCGTAGCTAGGATTACAGGCACATGCCACCATGCCTGGCTAAAATTTTTTGTAGTTTTAGTAGAGACGGTGTTTCATTATGTTAGCCAGGCCTGTCTCAAACTCCTGACCTCGTGATCTGCTCACCTCAGCCTCCCAAAGTGCTGGGATTACAGGCGTGAGCCACCGTGCCCAGTGAAGATATTTCAAGATGGACAAGGAGGGTTTCAATCACAGCACTGGCATAAATGGGTATCCATCTGGAAGAATTCTACTTTACACCACATATAAAAATTGCTTACTGAAAGATTACAGAGCCTAAACAGGAAAAATTTAGATTTTTAGAAAACATTCTTGGTTTGAGGATGAAGTTGATCTTAGTTTCCTTTTTCTATTTTTTATTTACGTTCTTGCCTACGTGCAGATGAAGTTGATCTTAAAACTGAAAATCCAAAAGCAACTACAGGAAAAGTAGATTTGATAATATGAAAACTTAAGTTTTCCTGCCTGGCAAGATAGCATAAACAGTCAAAAGGAAAATGACAAAGTAGGAAGGTATTCCATATTGTTGCCAAGTAGACAAATTTATTCAACTTGCTATCAAAAGTTAAAACAGGCTGGGTGCAGTGGCTCACCACTGTGGCTCACTCCCAATCCCAGCATTTTGGGAGGCCAAGTGGGGCAGATCACTTGAGGTCAGGAGTTCAAGAACAGTTCAAGAACTGGTCCACGGGCCGGGCGCGGTGGCTCAAGCCTGTAATCCCAGCACTTTGGGAGGCCAAGGTGGGTGGATCACGAGGTCAAGAGATC